TTACGTCACATGACCACATCAAGCCCTGGGATGAGCTCACTGTCCTACACTCCATGGGAGTCAAGTGTATCATCGATAGGGAATCTTAGACCCGAGGAAGCCGACCTGGGGGCATTGCGCGATCACGCTGCTCGCAAGTGGCGCTGATGATGAAGGGTGTGATGTCGGTCGGAGTCCCCAGTTCTTCTTACTGGAGAAACAGGCGGGGAGGATGGATGGATGTGGAGAAGATGAGCCCTGCATGCGCTTTTCATCTCTATCTCAGTGGGCGGGCTGGTGGAGAAGGAATTCTTAGTGAGTGAGTGAGTGAGTGAATACCGGTATGTACGTAGGAGGATAGGAGCCCCTGTGCTACATACGGTACGAGAAGAATAGCTGTACTCCTTAGGTAAATTGCAGTTCAGATGTGAGCACAAGATCCAGTCTGGGGTATAGCTCAGAGTATTGGATGTCAAGTTTGTCAAGGCCAGGCCTGTTAGCTGGGAGCGGTATCAACAGTATCAATTTAGGAACGGGGCTTTCATACCCATCTAAACCTAATACAGTCTGTATTATGGACGCAGCTAAGACTCTTAGAGAGCACAAAGTAAACTTATGACTTGAAGAAAAAGACATGCTGGATTATCTAGTAACAGTGTCGAAATCATGGCATAAAATACTTCTGACGGGTAGTAAGAGGGTTCGCTGCTGTTATTGTTTCCTTCCCCCAGGGCCATGGGGTCTGAGATTAGGGCATGTCTGTTTCCGTTACAGCTCTATTTTCCGCTTCGAGTTGAATATAGACCATTCATTATAACATGCCTATCACATACGACCACAGGGTGTGGAGAACAGGGCTTCCCGTCCGCTCAGCCGTACTTAAGCCACACGCCGGCTGGTTAGTAGTATGGTGGGTGACCACATGCGAATCCCAGCTGTTGTATGTTTTTTTCACTCTTTTTGCCTCTTGATATATAAAAACATTTCATTCTTTATGCATGCCGGACTTATTGAGCCCAATAGTCATGGATCAGGCCGTGTGGTCTTGTACAAGCAGCAGACACCACAGCTGTTCGATCATGGTAATCTTTCTCGCAGTTGGCTTGTTCTCGCGACTGGCAGCAGTGACTTCTTACTGTGGAAGACGGTGAGCTTCGGCTGGAAGAACCTTGGCAGACTGCTGGACTGGCGCCATGAATACTAACAGAATGCTTATTGATGAAGGGATTCGCCTCGCCAACGCTTGTCAGCTTGCGGGTTCCCGGCATGTCGTTAGAACCCCCTGAGTGGTGTCTGATGCACATTGCGTCGAGATAGTCGGAAGATCTATGGGACTCCTTACAGTGAGAGTGTGACAGGCAAGCTGTCAATCTGAGTTTGCACAAAGCTATTGGAAGCCTTCGCCAGATAGACTAGCAGATGGTGGAACACCGGTTAGAGGAGGTCGATGGTTCAGGAGATGCATCGGATTATGTGGTCGAAGGGTCCGAAACTGATGGCGGTAAGTGTGATACCGCGAACCTGGGAAGATGACCTCTTTTCAGAGAGCTAACTTGCGCGACTTGTAGTGCCTGGCGACAATCTTTCGGGGCTTGACCGGCGAAATGCAGTTCTCGAGGGATGTCGGAAGAAAGCAGCGTCTAAGCACTGGGTTCCATCTTTTCATTATGGTATTTAGTCGATTGCGTGCCCAAACCGACTTTGTGTCTTCTTTTCTTCTGTCTTCTACTGTAGCGGGATACCTCAGTCGTGGTCCTTAACATTATCTCCGAGTGAGAACTGGTCTCTTGTCCTTACCAATGCAAGATTTCTGGTTCCTGCTTCATAGTGCCTGTGCATGGTCAGATATCCAGTGGCAAGACAGTTCTTGGATGGCTAGAGAGAGTCTTGAATGAATTTATCATTCTCAGGCAAGTGTTGGTGGTCAGGATTGAGCCCAATCCAAGGATCACGTGTGGTGTCTCGAGCAGGCAGCCCATCTTCCATCCAGCTCCTCCAGCTAACTAGCCTGACTCCATCGTCAAATCAACCCATTCTTAACACATCGTTCTAGATACGGTCATAGAGCCCGATCTTGACATGGGCACGGTTGACTATAGTGATCCCGTTTCCTTCTTCAAAGCCATCGGTGCTGGCGGCCCCGGTCGTTTCCCCATGCCGGGATTCAAGTCTGCAGAAGACGTCCGCCGAGAGGCCGCAGCAAGGTCAGGCGAGATATTCACCGGCTATGAGACCCTGCACGCCATCTTGGAGTGCCATGAAGCCACCATTTAAAAACGCTGGTCCAAAAAAGTCCGGCGGCAGAGGCTGAAGATCTTGCTGAGTGCCTGGCCAAACATGGCGGCTATCCATCGCCCTGGCTTTGATGCCTTCCGGAGGGAGTCAGAGTCCGACCGTGACAGAGGTACAAAGTATCGAGATCACTACATGTGGCCGTGTATCAACCAGGAGGATCTCTTGGATACCAAGGCGCTACCTTTGCTGCTCAACGCCCGCGGCCGCCATCCTCCTTCGCATTTCGCTGCCGCCGACATTGACGCCATGCATCTGGGTTTGGTCACCAAGGCGTTTGTGCCCATCTTCTTGGACGAACATGTCATGATCCTGAACGGTTTCGCTGAGAATACCCGTGACTATGGTGAGCTTCTGAATTGGTATGACCATGAGGACGCCTTCGACTGGATGCACGAGCAGAAGCAATTCATGCCCGGTGAAGGCCTACTGGTAATGGAGGCGCAGGCGCGACTTTTGGCCATCCTTGTTCAGTGCTGTCGAGTGATTCTCCACGACATTCCAGAGTCCAGTCTGACCAGCGACTCCTTCCCCATTCTTCCAGAGCCACAGCTCAAGGCCGATTGCGAGATAAGCGGCTTCCAGTCCCTGCGCGTAATGGCTGCGGAAGCTCCGTATCGCGTTCCTGCAGAACTCGACCTCTCACGCATCGAGTCGCTTCTCTCCGCGAGAACATCCGCTGCTGAGGATCACCTCTGGGCCTTGCGCGAGGACCCTCATTACTTCGCCAGAACACTTCTCGATGTTAAAGAGCACCGCCAGGAGATGTTGAAGGATCTCTATGGAAATGCTCACCCGGTACTCAGTCCTAGTCGGCAAGATGTCTTTTGGGCCCGTGTGATCGGTTCTGCGCTGTCGACAGCGTACATCGAATTAGAAGTGTTCTCCGAACTCAGCAGCCAGGCGAGAAAGTTGGTCATGTTGCAAAGGCAGTACGCTGGTGTAATATCCCCGTCAGAAGACTTGCCCGAGGAGTATCTCATGGCGTTGCTTTGCTTCCGTCACTACCTAAACCAGGCAGCCAAAGGCATCTTATCCGTACTCGAGATGGTGGTCGTGGCGTCGCCGCCTTCGCGAAGGCTCTTTGCTCGCGTGCCACCACCCGACGCCGATACGTCGATAACATTGGTCAGGGAGAACCCCCGTATCAAGATGAGCAAATTGGAAAGGGAGCTTATTTGGCTGCTACGCATGCTCTGGGAAGACGGTACCGAGCTATTCTTAACCAAAATGCCCGTGGTCGTGGACGAGTTAGAGCGACTGCTTCATTCAGAGCCGCAAGCAAGGGAATTGGTCTCTTCCTTTGTCTCCGGGCTGATTGGTGATCTCGCTATCGTCTCCCAGTGTCTACACCAGTTGTCACTCTACTACCCATGGGCTAGGGTCTGGGAAGCCCAGATCCTTAATCGCGAGGGCGACTTGGAGCAGGGCTACGCGAAGCGGTCTAGGCGATGGGCACGGATGCTAGATGCATTTAGTGCTGCTCTTCCTCAGAAGGCCAAGTCGAGTAATGCTGTACGTCTCGGCAATCCCTCCGGCAGCAACTTTCATTACCCTATCAGCAAGCGCCGAACCAAGGAGACCGTGGATGCGCTGCGTATGGCGGAAGCTTGCCTGGGCGCTTTTTGGGTCACCATTGACTGGTTTATGATGGCCAGGGCGGGTGACTTGAAAGGAACGGCCGTGGGGAGCCTCCTCTCCCAGTCGCGCATCCTTCAACGCACCAAGGAGTGGGTTGAGCCAGAGAAGCCGGGCCCCGCGGTATCCGCGCAGGCAAAGGCAAAGGCAAACGAATCAGATTTTTATGCATCATATCTGCCTATATCTCGCACCTACTCTGGAATCTCGACCAGGTCCCCCGACACTACTTTTCCCAGGGAAAAGATTAAGACCCGCGGAACACCACAGTCCCCTGTTTCACCAGTCGAGACCGGGGCCTTCGCGCAGCCCAGTTCCCCCGACTGCCCACTAGCCTTCACCATCGACCAACGCGCGTACAGGGTGTTCCGCACCCTCTTCTTCAACCCTTCCATAACCGCAACTCCGGGTGAAATCCCCTGGAATGACTTTATCCACGCCATGACGTCCGTCGGGTTCACCGCTATGAAACTGTACGGCTCGGTTTGGCAGTTCAAGCCGAGCAATCTAGACGCGAGCGGAGCATTCAGTTCTACGAGCCGCATCCTCAAAGGAAACTACCTTTTACTACGGCGCGGCGGTATGGTCGGAGGCTTAGTCGGGCGTATGGTTGGTTTGGGGGGATGTTTGTTCTAGGTGAGAAGCGGGGTGTTTGATTGACCTTGCTATGAATGTGTAGGAATTTGCGCTATTTCGGGTTAATGATGAATCTGTGTGTGCATGTTGCGGTGTGAAAACCAACATGAGGAGGCTTATGGCGTGCTTGTGTGGTTGGCATCATGTGTAGTCGCGAGGCAATGTAGGGCTAACTCGGATAGACATAGGGCAACCTCTATGAAAATATATCTCCAGTCCTTCAGCTTCCTCAACTCACCACTCCATAGCTGTCCGGCGTTCACTAGGCTACAAAAGAACAAGAACTGGTTCAAGAGAAATAAGCGATCTCTGTCTAACACATTCTCCAAACTTGACTCATATTTTATTTCCCGGCCACCTCGTAGTAAGCCGTATTCCCTCAAACTCTCGTCGATGACATCGATCTCCGCCTGCCGAGCCATAAACCACTAAAGGCAGCCAATGCACCAATCACAGGTCCTGTGAGGTAGTGGTTATCCTTCCGGATTTTGACGCCAAGTCAAGTCTTCCGGCTACGCCAGTTCGAATCCGGCCAGGACCTCTTTTTTTCCCTGCCTTTTTTGTTGTTGTTTTTGTTCCGTTGAGTGGGACGGACGGACGATGATGAGTCTTTTCGAAGTTATTTCAGTGGGCGGTGACCGATTGGATACGAAGACCATGAGTAATAAACCATAGAACGTCGATTGGTATCTGTCTCACTGTGAGTCGCCTTCTGAGATAAATTTTCGTTGCTGGGTTGGCGGAATACAAGTTGGAGATTTTCAGCAGCCTTGGGCATGGGCATCTTTTCCTGTCGGCGACAATTCGCAGAGCACGTAGTTAAGTGGCGACGGACTTGGGGCGAAGAAGCTGGGTATATGTGTATAAGTGGTGTATGATTTAGTATCTGGACGAAATTTATCAACCAAGGTCCTATGAGGTAGTGGTTATCCTTCCGGATTTTGACTTTATTTCGAAGTTTTCCGGCTACGCCTGTTCGAATCTGGCTA